TTCCTTCCTTCTTCCTCTGCATGGGCTGGCATCTCCAGACCGGACCCCCTAGGAGAGGGCTTCCCAGGCAACATGTGGTGAGCATCTTTAAAGTTTTGTTCCAATAATCTCTCTGTTGTGGACGATATTCTATAACATACATGAAAAATGATTTCCTAGAAAGATAAAATGCAAGAGACACATCAAATAGAAGCTCAAGTTATTTATGAGGAGAATCAATAGACGTAGAATTCCTATGTCACATTGCAGTAAGTTTCTAAATGCTACTGAAATTTTGTTCTTAAAGTAGTTATACTTTAAGCAACAGGGCTTTAGAACAGATATTATCTTCCATTTCCCCCACTTAGAACAGATACTGTTTTCCATTTTCCCCCCTTTTATTCCTCATCGCCTTCACTCCAGCTCCCCAACCCACAGCTGAACCAGTCCATTTATTCGGCAACGTTTGCTCATGCCTTCCCCTCCCGCAGACGGTCTATGAGGCCACTTTATAAACAGGGGCTCTTACCCACACAGGATGGAGAGGAAGGGAACGTGGTGGAAATACGGCTTTTCTTTTCTTTTTTTTTTTTTTTTTTTGCTTTGACATTTATCTGCCCCATTTCCTGACCCCAGAATCTTATTTTCGTCATGATCTCGCATTGTTGAGTTTTCACAGAGTCTTGAGAGGCTTACACCTAACCAAGAGAAAGTACATTTCCAAGAGGAACATTTAGATCTGATTTTTCATGTAAAACCCTTGTCTTTCTTATGTAAAATTATGGGACTTTTTTTTTTTTTAAGATGGTTAATTCCACCATCAAGTAGATTGTACTTACTTGAGTTCAAACAGCTTTTTAAAAAAAAAAAACTGGGTGTTACACGCAAATCATGAATCATGGAACGCTGTATCAAAAACTACTGAAGCACTATATGGTGATTAACATAACCGAAAACAAAAAACAAGAGAATGTGAAAGTCACTCTTTCTCCCATGAAGTCCACAGATAAACCGCTGACCCCAAAGAAGAGCAGAAGAGTCCTCATTGGCTCTTCTCCTGGGCTGGGCTCTGCAGGGATGATTTCCAACCTGACTGAGCGATAGCTTGTCTCTGTCTCTCGGGATATTTTGCTCGAGTCCATGGCATCAGCCAGCTGCTGAAGGCATTTCTACGGAAGACAGAATGTCATTATCAAATTCTAAATCTTGGGGCTGGGGTAGATACCACCTTCTGGAGATTAAAGGTAAATGAAAATTCCCCTTCTTCTTTCCCGAATTGTTTCATTCGTGAAGGTGCCCGCCTGGTTCAAAAATGTTAAAAATATATTCAGAAGGAATGCAGTGACTGCCTGTCTCGCGCCCCTGTCCCCAGCTGCTTGCACCTGCTGCCACCCTCAGCCACATACGTGATGTCCCCAGGGCCTCGCTGAAGGATAGGTGCCTGGCTTCCCATCCTTTGCTGTTGCAACAGGGGTTATGATAAAAAAAAGTCCTTGTAGACATGTCCTCAGCACGTGTGGAAGAGCCCTGCCAGTGGAATTGTGAGACCCAGAGCCCCTGCATCTGCCATATTGACGATAAGGAAGAGGTTTCCTTTTTTATTATGTTATGTTACTCACCATTCATTACACCATTAGTTTTTGATGTAGCGTTCCGTGATTCATTGTTTGTGCATCACACCCAGTGCTCCGTGCAGAACGTGCCTTCCCCAATATCCATCACCAGGCTACACCATCCTCTCACCTCGCTCTCCTCTAGAACCCTCAGTTTGTTTTTCAGAGTCCATAGTCTCTCATGGTTCATCTCCCCCTCCCATTTCCCCACCTTCATTCTTCCCCTCCTGCTATCTTCTTTTTTTTTTTAACATATAATGTATTATTTCTTTCAGACGTACAGATCTGTGATGCAACAGTCTTACACAATTCACAGCGCTCACCATAGCACATACCCTCCCCAATGCCTTATCACCCAGCCACCCCATCCCTCCCACCCCCCACCACTCCAGCAACCCTGAGTTTGTTTCCTGAGATTAAGAATTCTTCGTATCAGTGAGGTCATACGATACATGTCTTTCTCTGATTGACTGATTTCGCTCAGCATAACACCCTCCAGTTCCATCCATGTCTGATAACGATGATTTTATGGTCGTCATGACAGTGTCCTCGGTACGGTTTGAGGATGTGCAAGGCTGGGTGATGGTGATATGAAACAAAGGCCTTTTGTAGCTGTTCCCTGATTTGGTCCCTCACCTGCTCTGTTAGGGGGCAAGAACAGGTGTATGTAACTACGCTCATTGACGGGAAAGGCGACGGGTCTGGTTAGTGGCAGAACCAGGACAATAGGACTGCAGCTCCTGCAAGTCCGGGTTCCTTCCCTGTTCTCTACACAGGGCCTTGTGCTTGTTCAGGGGAATCTTTGCGGTCTGTCGATTCACGGTGTGTGTGTACCTCAGGCCCCACGTCTGTGTCCCGTGTCATAAGTCATAAAGGCACAGCCACGGCGCTTACTAGGGCAGGTCCTGCTGGGAGAGTCTCCCGTGTATGTATTTCCTCAGGAATCCTCACAACCCCGTGAGGTGCTATCACTTTCTCTACTGTGCAGACGAGGAACGCTTGGCCCGGGGAGGTGAGTGACTTCCAGCGCCTCACAGCAGACACGTGGTGGAGCTGGGATCGGAAGCCCATTCCCCGGCTCCAGAGTGCCGGCCCTTTCCCCCCACCGTGCTCTCCTCTCACAGAAAAAGTAGTAGTACCACAAGCTGGTGCTCGCCCTCACAGTGTGGGGTGCTTTGTGATATTTGCTCTTGTATCCTATTTGATCCCCTAAATGCTGGTTCCCCCCCCGCCCCCCCCCCACAGTGGTTTCCTGACCCTCCCTAATCTGTCTCAGTCTGGGTTTTGGAAAAGTCTGTTAGGTTCTACTTCCCCAGCACCTCTCAGTGCGTCCCCACCTCTCAGTGTCCATCCCCGTGGCGGCTGCCCCAGTTCAGGCTCCCCATGACTTCTTCCCTGGACCTTCTTCCTGGATGGCTGTGAGATCCTCCTAACTTTTGTCCTCCGTCCGTTCTCCATGCGGAGACCAAAGTCACCTAAAAAATACATTTCTGACCATAGTGTTCGTAATTTAAGGCGCTAAGTCCACCTTTGCTGTTTGGGGCCTAGTGTTCAGTCCATGAAGATGGTCGGTCAATGTATGAGGGAATGCAGAATTAGAAAACGTACTGTGTATTTGTCCTCAGGATGAAGATCTTCTCCCAGGTAAGTATTCTGAGGTCGACTTTCCAATGATAGTCACGAGAAAGCCGCACAGCACCACCGAACCTCACTGTGGGGTTGCTCACAAGGTCCTCGATCTTGGGACGAGCACGTGGCCCTGCAATGCTCTATGAATGGAGAACACACAGGATGGACGTGCCATGCACACACGTGCTTTGGTCAGACTGAACTCCCCTTTTGACCCCACTATTGGGGAAAAAAAGAAGCAAAAGCTGTGGAAAACTCACACTTTCATATGTCTGCCAGCCTAAAGAGTAGGTCCAGTACAGCCACCTGCCCCAAAGACGTTGAAAGATGTGCCCCAGATAACGGGGCACATGACAGTCACCTGCAGGAGCTCTCAGAACCACCCGTCGTTCCTGTTGCAGCAGCCTGATGGTCTACCAATTCCGGTCTGTTCTGTCATTTCATAATCGATCATGTTTCCTGTCAAGCATTAAAGCAGCCCCAAAGAAACCTGGAGAAGAATCGGCTCCCAAATCCAAAGGGAGAAAGGCTTTTTCAAAAGCTATTCAAAATTAAACTAAAAGTCGTCCCAAGGCGTTTCCACAATTCTTTCCTCGCAGTTCCCAATTTCTCAATGTCAAGGTCTTGGGCAGTCCGGTCCACAGGGGCCCGGCTTTGGAGACAGCGGCACCTCTACAGTGCCTGGATGGACGCCCGAACCTCGTAGGCGGATCCGATGGGCTCTGATGGCCCCTTACTTATTTAGTGCCATGAGGCACTGGGAGGTGGAGGGTCTACAGCGGCGGGGCGACCCGGAAAGCCTGAGGCCATCGCCCGCAGAGCACAGCGTCCGCTCGGCCTGGGGCTCACTGGTTCCCGGAGTTTTCAGCCAGGGCAAAGCCCGGGGGAGGGCAGGGGAAGGCTCGGGTCCAGTGCGCCCAGGGCGATGCTGGGTGGGGCCTGGACAGAGGGCGACGGGGACAGCCGACCCACCCAGCTGCTCCCCAGGGGCTCGGGCAGCGGCACCGAGCCGGGCTCCAGGTCTTGGCGTGGCGCAGCCCCAGGCCCAGACCCCGAGGCCTGATGTGGGGCGGCGGCAAGGGACAGAGCGCGCGACCAGGAGAGCAGCCGGCCCTCCCGCGCCCGAGCCTGGTCTGGGCTCCTGCCGATCCGGATCGACGCGCTCGCCTGCCCACGGTCTGGTTGGTCAGCTGCTTCATGCAGCTGGATTGCTTCTTGCTGGCGGCGGCGGCGGGGGCCGGCACGGCCAGGGCCGGGCAGCTCGAGGAATCGCCCGGGGGGAGGGGGGCCGACGTCGCTTCATGTCCACCCGAGGCGGCAGTGGAAGCGGCTGTGGGCCCGGCGCCCCCCCCTCGCCGCCTCTCATCCAGTGGCGCGGCAGGTCGGGGCCTTGGGAGGCCAGACCCGGGACGCGGTACCCAGCCCGTCCTCCACCCAGGGCGGGAACCCCGGGGCCGCCCTGTGCAGGGCCCGGAGGC